GCCGTGCCAATATTTCTCGGGAAAACGTTGCCGAGTACCGGAACGAACTTGTGTCTGAAGTCGAGTCTTTGCTGAACAAAGTCTCGGATTGGGGGCGACTAAATCTAGTCCAGTTTAATCCTCAGAAGACACAAGTTTGCGCGTTTACCGCTAAAAAGAACCCCTTTGTCGTATCTCCTCAGTTTCAAGGCACTCCCCTTCTTGCCTCAGCCAGTATCGGTATCCTCGGAGTGGACATATCGAGTGACGTGCAGTTTCGTGGTCACTTGGAAGACAAGGCCAAATTAGCCTCTAAAAAGCTTGGCGTGCTCAGCAGAGCGGGACAGTATTTCATGCCGGCACACCGCCTGCAACTTTACAAGGCGCAGGTTCGGCCTCACATGGAATACTGTTCCCATCTCTGGGCAGGGGCTCCCCAGTGCCAGCTCCTTCCACTTGACCGCATCCAGCACAGAGCGGCTCGAATCGTCGACGACCGAGCCCTTTCCGATCGGCTCGATTCATTGGCACTGCGAAGAGATGTTGCATCCCTTTGCATTTTCTTTCGCATCTACCATGGGGAGTGCTCTGAGGAATTGTTCGGATTAATCCCAGCCACCAAATTTCACGAACGCACATCGCGGCAGAACTCCCGATACCATCCACACCATCTGTATAATTGGCGGTCCACCACTGTGCGATTTAGAAGATGTTTTCTTCCTCGCACGACTTCCTTGTGGAATCGATTACCATCAGCGATTTTTCCGGACCGATACGACTTAGGGACCTTCAAGAAAAGAGCGTACTCCTTTTTAAAAGGCCGGCAACGCATCTGCAAATCCCTCCCTGGTGTTGCAGTTGTTCATGGGCGGCGGTAGTCACTTACCATCACGTGAGCCGCATGCTCGTTTGCCCCCTCTCCTATAAAAAAAAAAAGGTGAATTGTGTGCTCGGTTGTCACATCACTATAAAAAAGAACAAGAGACCATCTGGAGTCCCTTTTTACTAGAAATGATGCATTCTATCTTAGTCATTACGTGTGACAACGAATCTGCATTTTGGTTCGTAATCGAAGATAGATGTAGATGTCTATGGGCCGCAGCAACAACTTATCACCAGGTGCACTGTGTGCTCGTTTCTCACCTTATCCTATAAAAATATAGGGATTTACCTCAATCGTGTACGAGATGTTTTACTGCCATCTACTGGGAGTCATGGGATCTTTCCTCATGCCTTACTCGCCTCATAAAGACGTGTAATTTAAGGATGTATAGTGTGTTGTCAAACAGCCCTCACGGTCCCCACGCTTAAATGCGTCGCCTTGTTGTTTTCATTTTTTCCGTCATAAATCAATCATTATGTTAATTGTTATTGTATTTTTTGCAATAATACGTAAAAAAATTCGTTACATTAACATAAGTATATAATTTAGATACATATAAAACCTTCAAATTTGCATTAATAATGTTTTCCGGTTACGCACACGGTTGTATTTCGTTCATAGAGTAATATAAAAATGTTCATTTGCTATATTTTAATTATCTTCACCGTTTTTTCCTACATAAGTTAGATTTTTGTTTTCTTAAATAACCAGTGCGAATGTGTAACCTTATTACCAGAGGCCAGAATGATGAACATAGACAATGCATTCATCGTCACGTCTTCCTGAACATGGACCTATATAGGCTATGAGAACATGTGCTCGCTTGTCACCATTAAACTGTAAGAAAAATAATTTAAAATTAAATATTTTGTACAGACAACTTCAATATAAATTATTACGAATAACTCAAAAACTATTGGTCAGACCTTGATTCATATGTGACCACATGTGAAGCACTAGGTTTCAAATAAAAAAGAATTATCGAAATCGGTTTACCCAGTAACATGTTATGAGGCAACACACATAAAAAAACATACAGTCGAATTGAGTACCGCTTCCTTTTTTAAATCGGTTGATAAGAAAATAGGCTTAAACGATAAGAAAAATGATAACGATAGTTGTGATGAACTATATTTTGTTCAAGCATTTTCATGCGGTTATATCAGAATTAATCTTTCACGTATTTAATAACATAATATTTCCTCGACGCTTTAAGTTTTTCTATTGTCGGTCCAACTTTTACTGTCTTATCTGATCTCCCTGTTTACGAAAATAGATGTCATTATGATGTAATTATAAAATAATGTTCTCCAGATACGATCTCAGTCCATTCATAGTCCTCATGACGGCTCCGTGACTCAGTGGCTTAGCAATGAGTTGCATCACTAAGGACCGCGGGTTCGAATCCGGCACGGAACAAGTACCATTAATTATTCCGGGTCTGGATGTTTGTCCTTGTAAAATTTATGTATGTAAACTGCCCGATACAGGAGAGAATCCTAGGGCGGAGGTAAAGGTTTTTAAGGCTAAAAGAAAATAGTATAATCCTTTACTGATAAAACCATCCTACATACATATCATAAACATTTGACTGCCTCGTTCGTCAAGTAGTCGTAAATGCAATTGCTAATCATGAGATCCCGGGTTGTAATACCGGGTCAAGTTAAAATGAGTTATTGGGTGTTTCTGTGAAAAAATTTTGATCGGTGGAAAGTTCTGAAAACTAAGTTGAAATGCCTCACAATCTATAACTGTACACGCTTTTTTGTCTCCCAAACCGAAATACCAATGAGTGCGTTCCTTTGCGATGGAAATGTGTAAAAAGATGGTATCAATCCAGACTGACCCGTAGGCGCTGTAAAGAAGCCCTACCTTAGTAAAATAATTTAAGTATGTCTTGATCATTCCCCAGTATTCAAAATTGTGGAAATCAGCCAGTCACTATGCAATCGTAAATATATTCTTAAACCCATAAATCATCAAAATAAATCATTATTTTTATAATGAAAATATTTGGCGTCGTACGAAGTTTAAAAAAATATGTAGCCACAAAATGTAATAAATTAAAAGTAAACGTGTGTTTATTTTTAAATATTCGTCAATTCGTACCAGCATTATTCCTAAGTTGTCTTCAGTTGAATAAAGGTTAACCACATTTATTTCGAAGTCGGAATTCTTCGTTTTTGTTGTTGGGTCTGTATATATTATATCTCTAAATATATGTAAGTCCGCGAACACGCATTGGAGCAACGTGGCGATCAAATTTCTCCATAATCCTCTTAGAAATGAAAGATGGGCTGAGGCCAATTTTGAATTTTGACCAGTGGTAGAGCCATGCAATGGGCCGGCTCGACCGGGGAAGGACCACGCTCTCACAGAATACCAGCGTAAAATAGCAGCATAACGCTGCTGTGTTTCGTATGGTGTGTGTAGAGAACCGGAGACCTTACTGAAAACGAGGCATTCCATCTTAGTCCTCACGGGTGACAACGCATCTGCATTTTGATTCGTAATCGAGGATATATGTAGATGTCTATGGGCCACTTACCACCAGGTGGACTGTGTGCTCGTTTGTCACCCTAATTCTAAATAAAAAAATCTTTTTACTTTGGTGACACTGTGTTATAAATAACTTCACCCCAGTACCAACTAGCGACATCTGGTGAGCGGAAAAGTATTAGCCCTCATTTCAAGACTTCATTCTTCTTCTTCATCAGTCCGTGAAAGTCCACAGCTGGGCCCCATGAATTTGCCTAAATCCTCACCACATTTCATGGTTGTAGCACGAATGGGTCGGCACCGGGGAAGTACCACGATCCCTCCAAAATATCACATTCAAATAGCAACTTAATGGTGTTATGTTTCGTATGAATGTCGAGTGAACCTGACACCCTTCGTACTTGTAATGAGGCATTCCATCTTAGGCCTCAAGGATAACAACGCACTGCATTTAGATTTAGATGTCTATAGGCCACAGCATCCACTTAACATCAGATGGATGTGTGAACTTCATTATCATATTGGGGCAGCGCGGTGGACGATTCCTTGCCCTAAAACCCTTTCCAAAATGGGAGGAGACCTGTGAACAGAAGTGGCTGTAACTTATATTATCATAATTTAGTGGCTACAAATATATTATGATAATTTTGCATGTTATACTTCGTTTCCAATAAAACGGGTCTCCACTTTTCGTCTATCACATTAAAAAGCTAAAGACATAAGGAGCATTAAGCTGCTATTACATGCTGTTACTTTGCGAGCGCATGGTCCTTCCCCGGTCTAGCCGACACATTCAGTTGCATAGTTAGCTTCTTACTGCAGTGTGGCTCTACCACATTATGTAAAGAGATATCAAAGTTAATTTTATCATTACATATACTCCGTTCCCTTCATAGCGCTGAAATATTATATTCATGACCCATTTACTGGATCAATTTTACCCATGAAATAGGCTGAAGCATTTTCCTGGAATATCCAATTAAAAACCTGCAGTTTCCGATCCTCTTACTAGCGTCGTATCTGAGGCAAGCAACTCCCTATTTCCCCTATTCGGAATATATTTAGCAGTGGATTTTGATGGACTGTAATGATGATGATGTACTTCCGGCAAATTTCATAAATGGTGGCAATTATAGATGGAATCTGCTGGAAATTTCGTTTTGAATATTATAGTAAAAATATAATAATAATAATATTTAAAATGTAATTAATGACATGATTCATACCGCTTAAATAATCATCGGTAACTAGTGATTTCGTTGTAGATATTATAATATTTATAATATTTCAAGCTGGTACCGGGCGCGTTGCTGTCGCAGAATAAATAATTGTGGAAATATCGTTTTCGATTTGGAAGAATTATATTGTTTCAGTAGAAATACATTTATTGAAATTGAATAATATATGACTTGGCGGTACGATACACGCGCCACCTACTGTAAGTTAATTGTACTATGCCTATAACCTTCGCGCAAGTGTAAGGCATACGTTGACAAAGTTTTAACACAATCTAATGAACGGTATGGCAGTCCATAAAATACGAAAAAACAAACATTATTTTTATATATTAGATATTCATCGACCCAATATTACAAGTTAATTATTGGTAGATAATAATATGTCTCTTTTTAATTACAGAATGGCGGTGCAAAATGCGGTCGTGTTTTTAAACGCCATTGTCGTTTTGCTGTTCGCTTCAAGTCTCGGCAATGGCGAAGAATACAGCCCTAAGCCTGAAATTGGCTATCCAGCTGGATTAATACCAAACTGTAAGTACTTTAAATTAATTGTAAGGAAGCCCTTTTAACGCATAAGACAATCAATCACTATGCGGTGTACATATCTTTTACTATCTTTCAAAATCAATCGCAGTCTATCAAACAAAGGTAATTATGAATTCTTATAGGTACAATACTTAACTTGTTACACATAATTAATAATTTTTTAACATCGCAAATATCCGCGTTATAAAATAAAATGATGTGTCTTACCTAGTATGAAGAGCACCTCCCGCCCTCCCTCAATTGCGTGCACTATCCCCGTCACCACTAATCCCAGCACCGCTACTCCCAACACCACTACACTAGGCAAGACACACCACTGACGATAATACGACACGTGTTTCGCCTCTACACGAAGCATCCTCAGGTGATATAGACTCTACGGTGGTTAACCGCTAAGTACTAGTAGTAAGTGTTTCATTCAAACAAAGGAAGCTGTTTCAAATGCGTTCTTGAAACGGAAAAAGGAGCGTCAGATGTTCCGATGCTAGCGGGAAAGGAGGAATTACTCATGTAATCCCACGTACACTTACTAAATTCTGTAGAATACCTAGTGAATCTGCTGCTGTATTCGAAACTTTGGTTTTAAGCAAATCGAGGTTACTACTTAATACCGTTACAGACACGTAAGTCCACTGCTGAACATAGGCGTCCCCATTTGATTGCCTCATAGGAGGGATATTTGATATTTTATTTTTATTTTTAGTCGTTATTAGGAAGACACTGCTGCCCATCTCCTGCTTTGTTTCCCTCTGTCGCCTCTTACGATACTCACGCGATGATATGGGGTAGTGGATATTCTTACACCGCCACTACACGGTTTATCTATAAAAATAAATAAAATTGAAGCGTGTGTTTGTAATATCAAAATAACAGCTTTTTACTAAATACATATTATGAAAGTGTATACGGTACTTAAAACAAAAACACAATTTTTTAAAATTTTGTCTGTCTGTCTGTTTGTTCCGTCTAATCTCCGAAGTGGCTGGATCGATTTTGACGAAACTTTCACTGGCAGATAGCTAATGTTATAAGGAGTAACTTAGGCTACTTTTACACTGAAAAAAAAATTAGGGTTCCGCGCAAAAATCTAAATTAAACCCGGGCGAAGTCACGGGGAACAGCTAAGACTTAATAAATTTTCATATTATATTATATTACTGTTTATGAGTACATTAGTTGAAAGTTATTCATGGCTTTTATTCAAGGCATCAAGCCTCGCGCGGGGTTCATCTACAGATAACGTAAACCGGATCGCATGCTTCTTCATCACTTCAAAGCCGTTTTTTGTACCACCAATCCAACCATTTGATAGCAGGAAAAAAATTAATCCGAAACAATATTTCCTGTTACTAATGTTAAAATTAATATTATCAACAAATAACAAGAAAAAAAAAACTTATGACGAAAAAGTAGTTTTAAATATACTTTAATCAAATAAAGAAGATCAAAAAATATATTTTCACCGCCGGTCAAAGTATTATATGTTTTGTGATTTTGTTTGATGATAAAACGAATTTTTTTCGTGCAATAGGATTGATCTAATCGAAACAATAAACCTGTATTTGCATTTTTTATTCGAAACCGTATAAAAAATGTTTTGTTATACCTAAAAATGTGAAACGGCTTTTACGGTACTTGTTATTTTTTTTTTAAAATTAAGCCCATCTAATGGTAAGTAGATACTGTGACCTATAGACATATAGATTTATCCTGAAATAAGAATCAAAATGTAGATGCGTTGTGACCCCTGAGGACTAATATAGAGTGCCTCGTTGCCAGTAAAAAGGGTCTCCGGTTCTCTACACTCACCATATGAAACACAGCAGTATTATTTTTCTGCTTCACATTGATATTCAGAGGGAGCAAGGTCTTACCCCGGTCGAGCCGAGTAAATCATGTTACTAGCGTAATATAACTGCAGCATAGCTCTACTCCAATTAAGGGTTTAAAATAATCGCGATTTTTATCGTAAATCTCATTTTATTCCTGAGATGTTATCGAGAAAGCGTAATCATTAGATCAAGTCATTAAAACTAACGTTAACTTTGCCCCTAAGTAATGATGAACTACTAGACGGCAAAATGTTAAAGCAAGCTCCGCGACTGTAAATACAACGAATCAATGAAGAATTATTTTAATTAGTGATTTATATTATGACGTAGTTGTTTCATTTATAAATATTATAATTTATTCTCTATAAAATTGACTGGTTTGTTTTTTAGCATCATTAGGCACATGGGATCAATATATAAATTTTCCACTATTTACTATGATAATAGAAATATTAAAATTACAATTAACATCATCATCATCGTCATTATTACAGCCTTTCACAAGTCCACTGCTGAACATAGTTACCACACTTAATATATTTTATTGTCATATCTACTTTTCCTGATAAGGTTTATGTATATGATATATAGTTATAATGTATTACAGAAATATTTATAAAAGTGTATGTATTCTATGTATGTATATGTAGGTATATGTGTATATGTATGTGTGTATGTATATATTTGTTTATGTGTATAGGTATATATAATATTATTTTTAATATAATATGCTTGTTTATCTACTATTTATACACACTTCTATATATTTAAATGAAAATTGTCTCCTTCACCAAGGTTTGCCTGGAAGAGATCGCTGTTTAGCGATAAGGCCACCTAATTGTACATTCGTTGATAAATTTAAGTTTGCTATGTCGTGTAGTGTTTTATGTGCAATAAAGAGTATAAATAATAATAATAATAATAATAATAATAACATAGGCCTCCCCCAAGGAATGCCATAAAGCACGGTCCCGAGCCACCTGCATCCATTGACTTCCTGCATGTCTTACCAGGTCGTCACTCCATCTAGTGGGGGGACGCTCTACACTTCGCCTACCGGTACAAGACTGCCATTCAAGAATCTTTCTTCCGCATCGGTTGTCGGTTCTTCGAGCTATATGGCCGGCCCATTGCCACTTCAGCATATTAATTATTTGAGCTATGTCGGTTACTCAGGTTCTACTGCGGATATTCTCGTTTGTAAGTCTATCACGCAGAGAAACGCCGAGCATAGCCCTCTCTATAGCTCGCTGAGCGACTTTGAGCTTCTTCATACGGCCAGCAGTGAATGACCACGTCTCAGTTCCATAGGTCACGCACACGCACACGCACACACATCCTCGTAGGATGTAGGAGATCCTCGTAGGACGAATAGTCAGAATAGCTTCCTAGGACCTCAAAACGTCAAGATCTGATGAAACCACAATTTTCGAAAATTGGGGTGAAAGTTTCACCGTGAAACCAATAACATCCCGATTTTTTTGAAAATAATTGATTTTCATAGCGGGAAGTTAAAAATAAATTCTACGTCTGAGCACAAGCAGCCTCTCATTATTGAAAGAGTCCAAGCAATTACTTCGCTGTGATGATTTTCTAGTTTACGACTGATGAATAAATTTGATAAAATCTTTTACAGGTCCAGGCGTCTTGAAAAATGCTACAATAAGCTCGAAGAAGATGCAAATGTTTCGAATTGTTATCCACAAAGTGGCAAACGGGAAAATTCACAGGAGAAATTATCCTATTGCTTCAGCACCAAAATCCTTAGTAAAAGATAAGTTAGTAGGTAAGAATTGTAAATGTTCTCTTTAATTACACGCCAATTATCGAACAGGTAGATGAAAGAATTCGAAAACAACACGAAAGTGATTTTAGTGTCTGTCTGTCGTTCTGGGTGGAATTTAGTGGTTAATTTTAAAGTATCTTCCCGATGAGTTGGAAATTTCAAATTTTGAATATAGCTCAAATTCGAATGACAGTGCAAGAATATGATAAAAAACGTGATACATTAAATGTATTTAATACATTTTTTACTTAAATTTTACTTATTTATATTTTGAAACTACTTCTTCTTTATTAGTCCGTAAAAACCGACTGCTAGACTTGGAAATCATCTCCCTTTTTAAAGAAGGTTTGCCGCAATGTTCAGATTGACAGGCGGATTGTCAATCACAGTACCAGACGTCTTTTTTTCGTTTTGCAAGTTTATATATAGGCCGCAGCGTCTTCCTATTAAAAAACTGCGGTTACGAACCCGTTTGGCAAGCGTGGCAACTATGCTGAATTTCCCCCCTATGAGGCAATCTATGGGTGAGGCCTATAAGCAGCAGTGGATTTTTGCAGCTGTATCGGTAACGGTAACGAATGTCAAAAGAACTATAAATTTTCTAATAACATCGTGTAGATTTTGATAACTGCTAGCACCGTCCCGTATAAAGTGAATATTACACAAATATTTAACACCCACATTGGGTAAGGGGGGCACCGTCAAAGGTGCAAGAATGAACGCAATATGTAAAATGAAACCCGCTTCTCAAACTTAGAAACATGGCAAATTTCTCTTATAGTGAGTCCAATTTTAAGCTTTGTGTCCCGTGGGCAAACGCGCTCACAGACCACCTGATGATAGGAGGACGCAGTGGCTCACGAACCATTTCCTCAAATAATAATCACAATATAGATGCGTTGTCAACTGGATGACTAAGATAGATTGTCCCGTTACTAGCAAAAAAATAAAGACTTAAAAGTACTCCGCAATTACCTTACAAAACACTAAACTTACAAACACTAGCATTATACTGATATTTCATTCTGGTTATCACTGAGAAGGTAACATTTCTCCGGTCGAATTGCCAAGAAAGAAAGAAATGATACGCCAAAGCGCGAGATTATTGGTACTGCGTACGCTAAGCAAGGCGATAACGAAGATCTTCCGTATTATTTTATATCAACATATCATTTTATATGTGGTAGAGCCATGCTGTAGCTATATTTTAGTTGTAGCACGAAAGGATCGGCTCGACCGGGGCGGGATCACGCTCTCACAGAATATCAGCGAGAAGTAGGAGCTCAATGCTGCTATGTTTCGTATGGTGAGTGTAGAGAACCGGAGACCCCTTTTACTGGATACGAGGCATTATATCTTACTTCTCAGGGGGTGACAACGCATCTGCATTTTGATTCTTAATCGAGGACATATGTAGGTACTATGGGTCACAGCATTCACTTTCCATCAGGTGGACTGTGTATTCGCTTGTCACCCTTAAAAGTTCAAGTTAAAATTACAGCCTATATACGTCCCACTGCTGGGCATAGGCGTCATCTAATTTCTGAGAGGGTTTTAGGGCAAGGAAGTGTCCACGTCGCTGCCCCAAAGCGTGTTGGCGAACATCATATGCCTTCGAAATTTATTTTTTTGTTATTTCTCAGACATGCAGGTTTCCTCCCGATGTTTTCCTTAACACAGAGCACGTGGTAAATAAGCACTTAAAATTACCATTAACAATTTCATTCGTGCCGGCGGGGATCGATCCCGAGTTGCTCGCGTACTAAGAAAATAACAGCGAGCGCTCACCATCTGAGCTACCACGGCTCTGTCTCTTTCCTACAAAATATTATAATAATTTGCTTAAACTATGATGAGAGTAAAGGAATATTTTTTTTCTAGATTTAAAAAATAAGAAGACCTTACTTTACTGTGGCGGTTTCCTCGACAGTGCTTTCTTTCCCTTCAGTCAGGCGATAGCTACTGCCTACTCCAAACGTGGATACAACGTCATGATGACAGAAACGTTCGAGTTTCTAACGTATATTTATCCAAAGTAAGTTCAAATTGTTAACTTTATAATATTCATTATAAATTTAATTCAGATTTTTTTATATAAAATTGAGGAGCCCAGAAAATCCACCTCATGGTAAATGGCTACCGGAAATGAACCTCAAACAAAGAAAGGGGAATGCCCACCGTTCATAGACACTTCGGCCATCAGTGCCCACATATAAAAGCATATGGAAATGATAATATCCTTTTGAATGAGTTACTAAGAGCTGGGAAGAACTCTGGCCGGTGTGAAAGCTGGGGTCATCGTTAACAGTGGATATCGAGTCCAAGTTCGGTTATCAAGTTCGGCAAGCAAAGGTTATCGTAAGAAGTGGGAGCGGAATCCATTTTCAGGCCGTGGTCAATAGGGTGAGAAGAATTATGATAGTCCATTTAGAAAACTTATTCGTTGCTTAGATAACAAATCCGTGAGAAAACAAACAAAATCACACAAATGCAAATGAATTCGTTGTTGTTGTTTTTATTATTCGCTAGAGAGAGCAGGCAAAGGAACTATGCCATACAGCCTAGTCTTTTTTATTTTGAATACTATATAGAATTTCACTGTTTCACAATATGTTGATGCATCACATTGTGCAACTCTTAGGACATTTTGACAGCAACTTGAGCCAGCAGACAGCTGACAGTTGGCGATGGTATCTAAAGGCGCCCATGCAAACAAATAGCTTATCTTGAGAATCCACCACCATCAGAGCACCAGTTTCACCATTTCCACTAATAGTTCAAATGCGTAGACAGTTAATACATAAAATTGCACCACTTTTACATATCAAATTCCACTTCAAACTATTATTTAAACTATGATACTGGAGCAGCAAACCGCTGCCGGTCAAGTTCCCGCCAAAACACCGCAAATGAATTCGACTTGTGACTATTTAGTTTTGATAATTATGACATGAGCCTAGCTGTCAGATTTGATGTTGCCAATTAAACAGACATAAAATCTATAAATAGATAGTGATTTTTTTATTCAATTTATAATTTCATAAAAAAGAATAATCTTTGATAAGCTTAAAGTTCTTCACGCCTTTTAAAATATGTTTTGTTTTATTTATTTAAATTCCATTTTAAATGTATTTTTAAGAACAGATGAGAATAACAGTCAAATTGTGCAGTATGGTTTTTGTTATGTTCTAAAGAGGTCATGGTAAATCAACTAGCAATTCGATTGTTTAATTATCATAACATCATAATAATTATCGAAAAATAATATTACTTTTATAATAATGACACCATAAAAATCGATTGAAAAAAGAGAATCAAGTTTTTTAAAGAGATTTGTAATTGGCAACACTTTTTATTTTATCCACAAACTAATCAATTGCGGAGTTACCTAATTTCATTTTTATTTTTCGATACTTTTTTTCTGTGCTAAATATTGCAATCTTTTTTGGATTGCAATCTATTTATGTAAAATACTGCGATTAATTACCATAAAAAAGGATGTATTTTTTTAACAAATGCAACTTGTTGGGCGTTTCATGGCCAGAATTGGGCATTTCAATTTACAGATGCGTTGTCACTTTTGAGGACTAAGACGGAAAGCTTTTAGTCTGTTATGATACTGGCTCTGTAGTCTGTACACTCTTGAGACTGGAACACAGTAGTGCAATTTGGCGGCAGAAATAGGCAAGAGAGTGGTGCCTCTCCAGACTGATTCCTAGGCAAAAAAGAAGTGCTAGCTCCGGATGATGTTTATCAAATTTAGATGGTGTACTATTATTGTGCAACTTACAAAATATTCTATTTTCAATTGATTCAATTGACGGCTCTGTGGTGCAGTGGCTTAGCAATGAGTTGCGGCGCTGAGGGTCACGGGCTCCGTTCCCCCACGTAACTAATAATTGTATGGCCTACACCTAATTTTTCCGGGTCTTAATGTTTGTCCTCGTGAAATTTATGTATGTAAAGTAAGCACAAAGGAAACACATCGAAGCCTAAATCGCGCTAACAAAGTTCCGAAGTTAAAGCAGTATATATAGAGTAGCTCCGAACTACCACTAGGAGCGTTGGCTGCTCCCCGGGCAGCACACCTTGCCCGGCGGAAAATCTCCCCTTTTCCTTCCACCTGCCGCACTGCCTTCACGATACAGGAGAAAATCCTAGTGTAGGGGTTCACTTTTTTTAAAGGAGTAAATAGAAAAAAAAATTACCAACTTTACAACTAACTTCTAACTACAAACGTTTACAACTAACTTCTCAAAATGCATGATTTAAGCATATAAGTCTGAGATTGTATAAAATTCTTTTCATAATCATCTGTCACGTGAATTATTTAGCATTCTTACGTAGGAGCTTGCTGCAGCGTATCATTGTTGCACGAATGGGTAGGTTTGCCAGTGGTAGGATATTGCTACTCCAATTCATATGGTGAGTGACAAGAAATCACTCGAAACAAAGTCCAACTTCTTCTTAAATTTAAATAATAGATAGAAAGAAGATAGTTTTATTTAACGATTCGGGTGACAAACAAGCACACATTCGACTTGATGGAATTCATCCTTAATTGAGAATCTAAGTGCAGATACGTTGTAACCCTGAGGATTAAGATGGAATGCCTCGTTTCCAGTAAAAACGGTATCCAGTTCTCCACACTCACCATACGAAACACAGGAGCATTAAGCTGCTATTTTACGCTGGTATTCTGAGAGCGTGGTCCTACCGCGGTTGAGCCGACCCATTCGTGCTACAACTATACTATTAATATAGCTGCAGCATGACTCTACCAATGGTCTTAATAAGTGAAAAAGTACTTATTTTTTTATAAAACTGAAGTGACAAACGAACTTACAATCCACCCGATAATTAATTACTGTAGTCCATGGACACCTCTAGAAACCTTTAAACGAAGAATGCTACAGATGCGTTGTCAGCTCTGACGATTAACATAAGATAAAGACGCTCTCACAGAATACCAGCGTAAAATAGCAGCTTGACACTGCTGTGTTTCGTATGGTGAGAGTAGAGAACCGGAGACCCTTTTTACTGGAAAAGAGGCATTCCATCTTAGTCATCACGGGTGACAACGCATCTGCATTTTGATTCTTTATTGAGGATAGATGTGGATGTCTATGAGTCACAGCAACCACTTACCATCAGGTGGACGGTGTGCTTGTTTGTCACCCTATCCTATATAAAAAAATTTGAATTATTACGCTGTACAGTTTTTATTTTTGCCAACATCTATTTAATTTTATTTTGTAGAGATGACACTGGCTTCTTCAGATAATCAAGGAATAAAGATATCATTATTACATTATATTTGGCCGTATATCTATGAACAATAAGTCATGTATTTTTATTATGTATACTCTTGTTAATTTAGTTATTAAGGTTTGAAATGTATGAACATTCAATCGTAGATTTCTGGCCCAAAAATGTAATTTAATTGGTAGCTGAATAGTATTGAATTACCTCAACTTCAGTCATATTTGATATTCAATGTTTGAAATCCAGTGTGAGCAGATCAATGCGATCACGTACACTCTCGTTCGCATTAATTGGATATAGGAAGCCTCTATTAAAATCGAATCCTATATCCGCTAAATGGGAACGTGCCATAACATACAGTCGCAGAAGAGTGGCAACGCAAAGACGTGACAAATATCGTGATTGTAACAATTTTTCTAGAAGACTTCAAAAACGTAGATATTCTTTTACGAATGTTTAAAAAAAATTGTCATATTTATTTGTTTTTGACTGCCTCGTTAGTCTAGTGTTCGTAAAAGCGGTTACTAATCATGAAATCCTGGGTTTTAATCACGAGCCGGGCCAATAATCAGTTATTGGGGTTTCTTGTAAAGAAATTCTCAGTAGCCGCACACAGTCGCGAAGTTGACGATGCCCGCGTGCCTCAGGAAGCACGTACAACGTACACGTTGGTCCTGCACCTAATCTCTCTCCAACCGTATCGGATAACTATCCCATCGGACTATAAGAGTGAAAAAACAAAGAGTGCACTTGTGCTTGCGGATACACTTGAACACTATAATCCTATCCTACGTAAATGTCTATGCTCCGTTCAGACTGGTCGTCTTGACCAGAACTCAGTATGGAGGACGTTATTTATTGATATTTTCTTTTTAAGTGGGCTCAAGGGTGGTCCCACAGAAATTTGAAGAAAAAATTTCAGTTATAATGGTTGGAAAATAAACGATGTGATTTTTTTATTGTAGCTATTTAGATGACACTCCATTTGTTACCTCGAGCTTGTGATGTCGCTTAGTTTACTCGAAAGGGTCAAATAATTAAATTAATAAGAGGGCTGGTTCTTTTCTCGCTCAAAGGCTAATTATAGCCATTTACCGGGGAAACGCAGCCAGCGTTCTTGGCACGATACCGCGGGAAGTAGGACTGTATGATAATTAAGTTTCTAGTTTTAGTTTTAGAATGAAGTTCCTTATCGGACGGTACCGGTTTGGCGGATGGGAGCTAGGCGACAAAAAGTGTAAGATTTTTTCGTCACTACCCTTTGTGTCATAGTGTAGACGGGCTTGGTGGCGAAATAAGCAAGTGAGATGGAATAATATCCATCTCTCTCGCACTTTTTCTTATCTTGCCATGAAAGAAATATTATTTTATTTCAAATAACGCTTCATTTTAATAGACGCTAGTAATTCATTTACTTGTATTTATTAATCAATAATATAATACCTATGTTTAACAATAATAATATACTACGCAAGGAACTTCGTTCCACTCGAGTGTTCCACGACACTCACGCATTTTTTATTACAGTTTTTAATATTGTATATAATAAAATATTGTATATTAAAGTTAAATTTATTTTTCGATTCAATGTCTTAGCACCAACTACAGAAACCAGCTTTGTTGGGTTTTACTGTTTTACATCTTAGTTATAGTTTGTTGTGCTTGTAATTACTTTACTTATTAAAAAACCGTTTATTTTACAGGTCCGTCAGATTGACTAAAGTGCTGGGGGACAAGATAGGCGAATTTTTAAAGAAACTTACCGAACAAGGACTAAAAGTTGAAAATTTAGAAATTGTTGGTATTAGTTTAGGAGCTCATATAGCGGGGTATGCAGCTAAATACTTATACGCTGCAACGGGTAAGAAACCGTCAAGGATCACTGGTTTGGATCCTGCCGGTCCGTGCTACCGTGCTCTACCGCCGAGTTCAAAACTTCACGCTTCAGATGCGGACAGAGTAGATATAGTTCACACTAATATAGATGGATTCGGCTTGGCAGAGAAGCTAGGACATGTAGATTTTTATGTAAATGGAGGAGAGTACCAGCCGGGCGACATACCTGCCATCCCTTGCCTTGTGTTGTGTAGTCACGTCAGATCCGCCTTTTACTGGTGGCAGGCGATCGAACACCCAAAGAAGTTTATTGGCGTTAGATGCAATTCGATTCAAGATGCAAGATTTGCTAAGTGTTTTAATAACTCCGAAACTAATTACCTTGGTTTGGAAACTAAATTTAATAGACCAGGCATATATTATCTGCCAACTTTCAACGAGTTTCCATATTATAGAGGAAAGGAGGGGTTAAAACAAGAGAATGAGATTTATACATCAGTCAGTCGTTCCATAAACGCTGTAGATCTATTTGAAGTTTAATTTTGGTATTGTAATTTTTTTTATTGGCAGAATGCATAACATATATCCTAAATCGTGGTAACTTTAGGAAAAATCATTTAAAGAAAGTCATTTAAAGAAATCGAGTCTTCTGAATTATAATTTCATGTACATTATAATAATTATTAATGTCCATATTAAGATCGTCATTAAAATTTGGTATTATTCATTTCGTCTTTCTTAACAATGTAGGGTTATATGTAGTGTATGTAAATAAATTATATGTACGTATACTATGTCTACCTGACATACAAACATGAGATGTTGCATACTTATGACGCCATTGAGTTATATGTACCACGAACTAGAGAAGCCATTCCGAACATTGACTATGTTGAACTGAACTGTAGTGCAATCCATACAAACTAAATATTGCGTAAATTGAAGATTTGTGAATTCCATAAAATAATTATTATTACATTTTATTTAGAAATATGTTTGTTTAGATTAAATTAAGATATTTTGTATTAAATTTTTATATTTATTTTATATTAATATCTTATTTTATATTAAATTAAAGTTTTCGCGCATGCGCGACTACTACTCACGCGCATGCGCGAAGACATAGAGTAGGACACAATTTTTGTTTGGAATGGCTTCTCTAGTACGTAGTACATATAACTCAATGTATGACGCACGGTGTAGTAGAAAGGATGCGGTGAAAGAGATTATCTTTACCACTATGGCCACAATGTTCAACTGTCAGATAAACGTTACTCATCAATTGAATTTTTACCATACTAAATAAAAAGTAACACAAATGAACTATTTTATTCACAAAAATGTAATTTTTAATTTGTTTATGTAGTAATTTAACCTATGAATAACTTTTAACTGAAGATTGAGAAATAGCCCCAAAGTAAATAAGTGAAATTAAAAAAAAAATTAACACGTTTTTTTATAATATTTTTGCATTGTCATCCGAATTTGAGCTATAATTAAAATTTAAAGTTTCCAACTCATAGGGAAGCTAGTTTAGAATCAATTACTAAATTCCACCCGTAACGACATACAAGCAAGAAATTGAGTTAATAAAAACGTGGTGAAATGACAAAGAGTTGGTTAATGCGGAGAACGGTAGAAGAAAGACGCATATTGTTATTCTGTCGCTTCTGTGGTGATCAACCCGCCTACCAAAAGTGTTCGGTATCTATATTGGAACAAGTAGTAAAATTAAAATTTTTGTACAACCGAATTAAATATAAACAAACTGAGAACATCATCAGTGTAGTCGAAGTCAATTTAATACGCTTTATTAAGAATAAGTCAAGAGCTACTCTAGAATAAGTCTGACCTTGATGAAATTTATAGAGAACCACATGAGAGGTACCAGCTTTCAAATAAAAAAAAAATCATCAAAATCGGTTCATCTAGACAAAAGTTCTGATGTAACACACATAAAAAATAAAGATACAGTCGAATTACTCTTCCTTTTTGTAAAGTTGGATGAAAACAATTTGTTCTCCTCTCTCGCTTCTACGTTAAGGTCCGTTTTAATAAATAAATATTCTTTAGACAAATAATGATGACTTAAGATTAAACAACTTTGATCCGCCATAAATTGTTAAGCCTGAGTTTTATTTTATGAATGCTTTTGCACTTTCTATCCATATAACGGGCCAAGGAAATACCGAAAAGGTTTTAAATAAATAAAGTATGTTCTTGTCAATCTTTACCCCCTATGTTCATCGAGAGATATGTCAGCTAATAATATATTGTTTGCAAACTAAAGTCGTCTGCTTTCTGATGATGTTAGTGATGTTAGCCTTTGACTCTTACAGCTTCATCGGACTCAGTGCTCGCGGCCAGAACAATCTTGGTCGCTAGCAGTTCTTGTGTGTGTCCATGGACTGAAGTTCGTTTAACACTTAAGTTTTATAAAAAAAATGTAATCCATGCATGAAAACGAAGTCAACATATGCCCATAATTTTAAAGCATTTATTATAATATTATGTCTAATTATGTGTAATTTATAGTGCAATACATCTATAACACTAGTTATATACGTTAAATTTAGATTGTATTTAATCTGTGATTTATACTTACAATTAGTTTTAAGACAATGTTGCCATTAAATTTGGTATTTAATTTTTACATTTAATATTTTATTTCTCCTAAATAATCATATTTCTACCCTTTCCGCATATTGAAATGCTAAAGTATTAGAATAGAAAGGCTGCGATAGCTCTCCGAGTACAGAACCAGAGTACTGTATCTATCCAACTACAGAGAGATATAAGACAGGGAGATATTATATCTCTAAAACTCTTACAGCATCGACATTGTTGTTTATCACTCACCTTCGATTTACCGACGAAATATTTATTATAGCAGAAACACTAGAGGACCTTAACACTCTATGCTCAATGAGCTTAATAGTGTGTCCCCACGGGTCATACATAGGTAATTTATAACGTGTCACACCTATACTGGTAGTTAATTATTTCTTATATTTACGCGAACACTACACATTGAATAAAACTACTTTTACGGATTTTATCAAGTTTAATTAATTATTTTATATTCCCGACATTTCGGTTGCTTTCCAGCAACCATGGTCACTGACATGGTTGCTGACCATGGTTGCTGGAAAGCAACCGAAACGTCGGGAATATAAAATAAGTTAATTAAACGCGATAAAATCCGTAAAAGTAGTTTTATTCAATATACTGGTTGTTGGGGAAACTATGTTCGAAGTCGTTGATAAATATGCTTACCTAGAACAAATTGTACTAATAGTTAAGTTCAACTTCGACCAAGAGGTGAACCGTAGGATTCAACTTGGCGAGACAGCGTTTGAGAAATTACGACACATCTTCTCATCCAGTATTCCTCAAAGTCTTAAAGCAAAAGTGTTCAACAAGTGGGTGGTGCAAGTAATGACGATTGGTGATCGCGACGTGATCCTTTACATATGAGGAATCTCAAAGTAGTTCAGGGAATATTGTAGAGAACTATGTTCGGAGTTTCTACGCGTGGTGGGATCCATAAGTAGAACCAATGTAACCGACATAACTCAACGTACTTAACGTGACTTAAGTAAATTCACAATGCCCTCACAAAAAGGAATAGTAAAGGGGTTAAGGATTTATTGATAGGTAAAATTAAAAAATAATAGGATTAAAAATATTATGCCAAATAAAGAAAACGAGAAATCTATCCTCAATAAAGAATTAAAATGCAGATGCGTTGTCACCCGCTGCGCTCGTGAGGACTAAGATGGAATGCCTCTTTTCCAGTAAAAAAGGTCTCCGGTTCTCTACACTCACCATACGAAACACAGCAGTGTTTAGCTGCAATTTTACGCTGGTATTCTGTAAGAGCGTGGTACTTCCCCAATCGAGCCGACCCATTCATGCTACAACTATACTACCAATATAGCTGCAGCATGGCTTTACCACGAATAAAATATAAATCAAAATCGCTTTTACAATAAAGACAAAAGCTGCATAAAAAGGGTCATTATAATATTAAAGACAATAGAATTGTTCGGATTAATTCCAGCCGCCAAATTTCACGAACGCCAAACGCGTCAAAATTCACGATACCATCCTCACCATCTGGATGTTTGGCGGTCCACGAGTGTGTGTTTTACTAGGAGTTTTCTTCCTCGTACAACTTCTCTGTGGAATTGTTTATCACCGGCAATTTTTCCGGACCGATACTACTTAGGGACCTTCAAAAAAAAGAGCTTACACCTTTTTAAAAGGCCGGCAACGTATCTGCAATTCCCCTGGTGTAGTGGTAGTTCATGAGCGGCGGGAGTCACTTACCATCAGGTGAGCCGCATGCTCGTTTGTCCCCTCTTCTATAAAAAAAAAACATAACTTATAACATCCCCTGGGAATTTAATGTTCGCTACCATGTATGTATCTGTATAATTCTGTTGTATCACTTTGTAAATTATTATAAAAAAAATAGTCACACTGTGTTTCTTGTTGGACAAGTCACCCAGTGTGACTATTTTTAGTCCCAGGATAGAGGATTTTTTCGAACCGTGGAACTTAACTTTTAATAATATTATTATAACCTTTGCGTGGTTTTTTATTTACCAGCACGGCGACGGCAATGGCATAGCTGCCGGGGAAGCAAAAATGTATAAAATGTATAAAATATATGGCATGTTCTTTAACGTATCGACGCTGGCGATGGCACGGCGATGACTCCCACCGGCGCTGTCGCCGCTGCCGTGATAGCAAACTACCCACGCGTTGCTGGCCGGCAAAACTACATGTGTATCGTGTACGTATTGCAGCCGTTTGCGTGTGCGCAGGCCGAAGAAGGGGCGCGTTGAGATTGAGACTCGAAAATGACTTGTGAAATGATGAAATGTCTTCTCATTCATATGGAAGTAGTTGAAATATATTTTAGAGCCCATTTCCAAATTTTAAAATAGGGTATAACATATTCCTTCAAAGTATTTTATTTTTAGGATTGGATGAATTCAAAATTTGACTTCTCTGCTTTGATTATATTTTTTTCTTAAATTACATTTTTGCGTACTGTAGAACTGGAGCCTGTGGTAGTACTGTCCAAAAACCGAGTGGAAAAACGAAGCCGTCGCCGTGCCGTCACCGTGCCGGTAGTTAGAAAACCGGGCATTCTGTTCTAATGATTGGAAAGCGATTAATTTTATGGAGAAGCATCGATGGTACGAGGTTGTAGATTCACAAGGCTTCTGCCCAGCATAGTGTATAGACAACTCCTTCAACAACTTTGGTAGTGCCAACATTAAGTGGTAGAATCACCCTGCTGCTGTATTATATATACACGCTAACTGCAATATACTTGAGTTGACTTAAGCGGTAAAGAACTATACTCTCATAGAATACTGGCATAAAATAATGATATAGTTCCTTCGTAATTCGTATGGTAGGTGACGAGAACTGGAAAGCCTTTTTTATTGATAAAGATCCATCTTCGCCATGAGGAGTAATTCTTGATGCTTCAGTTGATTCTTGTTCAAGAATAAATGTTGGTG